ATACCTAGGTCTTGTCAACAAGTGTCATTCTAAACCTGAGATTTTCATGCAGCATTCAGCTCACCCACGTCTTCCTTACATTTGCTTTCTAACATTAGCCAGATTTACTTTCCTTAACAACCAGCTTTTATGGCCTCATCTCTACACGTATTTACCCAGCTGCTATATATTTGCTGGGTGAGCACGTGTGTCACGTCATGTTTCAGGAGGGCTTTTAACCCTGGCCTCTGGGCAGCGAGGGTTTCCTGTGCCGCAGCAGCAGGAACGGGGCGAGACAGGAAAGGCGGCTGGCCGCTGCCACGGGCCGGCAGGGAGAAAGGTCAGGGGCTGTGTTTGGACCTTCTCGTTACTGCCACATCCTCGGGCTTGTGTCTAGTCAGGACTGCATTTATCAATGCCACTATCGATAACCAATTTATGAATAACTGAACTTATCAAATTGCTCTTTTATGTTTTCAGTATTTGCTGAACTTCGAGTACGTAACATCAGTGCCATTCATTGTCTTCAAGCTGCTTTGAATATTACGTTGCTGAGCTAGCACTGACTGGTGCAATAGCAACGCCAGATATCCACATGCTCAGAGCGTCCGTGTTACACACGGGAATAGAGCCAAGCCCTTCCAGCAACCTGAAATGGGAGTAGCTTTATCAAGGCCCTGTCCTGAGACCATCCACTTTATATTTTGCTTTCTAGAAGCATTTTGGAAGGTCAGCCACACTAGGACAAGCCACATGATATTGAACTGCAAAGCTGTGACAATCACTTGACATTTTTCATCATTAGAAAACAGTTTAATTTTATAATGTGTTTTTTTAAACAAAAACGTTTTTCACTTATTTCCTACTTTGATCTGAAGTCCTAGAAGCATCACCTTAAACTTTACACGATTACAGTCACATCATAGGGTTTTGTCCATCATCCATTTGTATACCTACAACTTCATTGCTATGATCAACACTTCCATTTTACCCTTTGGAAGGCTGCTATGATACTTTATAACGCTACAACAAATAAATTCATTTAAAAGCTGTTACGTCCCCATACTGGGGGACTACTGCATGCTACTGTGAAGGTAGAAATAGGCTGAATGCTTCTCAAATAGGAACGTTATAGTGGAGTTTCTAAACAGTCAATTGAAACATTTAGCTTTATTCTGAATCAAAATGAAACATTCATAAAGTTTCCCATAAAAAGTCCAATGCTTTGTTTTTCCAAAGTGCAAAAACAAATTCATAAATGAAACATTTCACAGCATTTCAGTAGAGGTACCTATTATTGCAACTTGTATTGGTAAATATTGAAAGTAACAATACAATATAAAGTATTATATCCCACATTTTTGAAACTGAATTTGTAATTTCAAAATGACAGCACTAGTAGTTCTAAAAGACAGTACAGCAAACATTTTTGAAAAATATCTTTGACCACCTCTGTTCTTGAGCACCACAGCAGACCTTAAAGCTGAACACAAAGCAAGCAACCACCTGCCAATTCTGGTCTCCATAAAGAGCCTAGGGAAAGACATCAATTTATGTTAAAGGTAATGTGGAATTCAGAGTCAGTGTTAGGACTACAAAACCATAAACAGTGAGCCTACAGTATTTACACAGCTGCAAGTTCAGGTCCAACTTTTTTTAAAACTTACGTGTTTTAAACAAAGGGAACACTGATGGGATCTGGTTGTCATCCTGAGACAAGTATATTGTCATCTAAGATCTCCTTCAAATTGAGACTATCTAGATCTAAGTAAAAATACTGCATTTTTGTGCTGTTAATAGAAGGGAAACACAAATAAAATGCTTGACTGTCAGGTAGTTTTCTCCTTCCTGTGGGCAAGCACACAAAAAAAAATTGGATGGTATTGAAAAGTGGTTATAGTTCTACAAATTAAACCATGTCATTACTTCTCCTGTCCCCTGCATACTATGACATTTGGAGTTTTTCAACAATACTCGTTGAAGAAACTGGATCGACGTAAGACAATTCAACAGCTCTTTCAAGCAAGATGTAATTTTAGCCAGTTTAGCTTATGGTGCATACAGGCTTTATAGCAATAATGCAGATAACTGAGAAATACCTCTTCCGCTCACGTGCAGTGCAGTCTTGCACACAGCACTTTCAAGCAAGTTCCAGGACCCGTAACAAGGAGGTGTTAAATGAGACGTGTGTGCAACAGCAGGAAACTACATACCTGTTGCAATACTTTAATACAACAGGTCTTTGAAATATGGGGAAGCTAAGACAAGGTGTGCTCCTGCTCTTTCCAAGAGCAGTTGAACACGGTCCCCCTTGCTGCCCAAACAGGGAATACTGAGGAGGCAAAATTTCTGAACCAAGTAGACTGGTGTTCAGGTGTTGTTTTGCCCTTCCTTTGCTGATATTCGCTCATTTTCCTATTTTGCTTTACCTGGGACACAAAAGCAGAGCTTCTATTAGCACACATTTACAAATTCAATCTCATTTCTCTCTGTAAGTGCTAAAGCCTTCCTAACAGTTTTTCTTCAGTAAGAGTTCACTGCCAAACTAAAAGGAACCAAAGATGACAAGTTAATAGAATTTGTTTAGTTTCAGCACAAAAACACGTAATTGTTTAGGCCCATTTTCTTTTTATTAATAATATAAGGTTCTATAATCTCTTAACATTACAACTGAAGTTTTACAGTTAATCTCACACTAAAATGACAAACACTGTTTGGCTTTATTTGCAGAAAGTTAAATTACAACCTTGATAAACATACATTTCCAAGATTGAGAAGCAATTTGTGTTTTCTGGATTTCAGTGCTAATGTATCCCTGCCTTTGAAAATTGGTTTCAGTTAATTAACATTGCTACAGAAGAACTATTTGGCCTGGCCTCTGTTCACAGTTGTAAGGCAAAGATGGCATCTCTAACTCAAGGAATACATTGTAAGTCAAGTCAAGAAGAGACATGTTTTTCGTTGACTGTAAGATTTAGACCCTGGATCAATTTCTATCACATTTTCTCCTTTCCCTCAGAATTTTTTTAATAAAAGTCTCTCTAATGTAAATACATTTCACGGTCAAGCCATACTCACTCTGCACCTTTCCTCCCTCAAAGAAAGCAGAAGATGTGTAATTGGCAGTCACAACAAGCTTAATTAAAACTGTTTCTTAACTTAAAACTGTTTCTAACTTACATATGGCCAAAATAGTCGGGCAAGTGAAAAAGTAATGTGTTATGCCAAGATACACTTCTGATCTGCATGGATCAAACTCCACCTCTGAACAGGCTGCAGCTATGGGAAGTGAAGTCTTTAGAAAGAAAGCAGAGAATACAGAAGGAAGAGTGGTGGAAGACTTTAGTATTAAAGAAGGGAAGATTTCTTTTAAATGGGTAATGATCTGTGCGTATCTAGGTCTCCTGAACTTGCATTACACTTCTCTATTTTCATTAGGAATTTAAATGTGAAATTAAAGACAGTCATACATGTGTTTCAACTGCAGTTTCACTAAGCTCTGACCAGTTCATAATGTAGGAAAATATTTAGGAAGACAGCAATAGGATGGCCATTAGAAAAAAAATATCCATTACAGTTGTAGTTAATCTTTTCCTCAGAGCTATCCCGTGACATTGCTTTGGGACCCTTACAGCCTGTTATTTCACCTTCCCATAGGACAATTGCCATGCAGTAAAAATCTTTACTGTATTTTAAATCACTTCAGAAGCCAGTGGCTATTTAAAGGTTAGAAAGAGAGTCTAAGGAGTTTTTGCCTGTGTAATTTCAATACAAAAAAGAGATGCGGAAACCATAGTCAGAAAATTAAGAATTGGGAAGGATGTTGTAGAGCTGTGTAGTACTTTAAGTCCAAATCTTAAAAGACCAGTATTACTGAGCTATGACTACTTGTTTTAGTTCATTTGTGCTGTCATTCTGCAAAAAGGCTTCACATACTTTCCTTCAACACCGATTCTCCATAGTTAGACATATACTTTCATTGAGGCACATAAACACCCTTTTATTCACCCTTCATATTTACCAGCTCCTAGAATGGTCTCTCTGTTTCAGAGTGATAAAAGTCATCAGCAAGATGCCAGCTATGGCCACATAGTCACCACCATGCTGCATGCGAAATGAAGTCCCCTGCATAAACATGGACAGATTCACTTTGCTGAGATGCCATTGTGTACCTAAGGAACACTTAACCACAGTGCAAAGAGTAACTTCCCTAAAAGAGACTATACCTATTGTTTTGGTTCCTGCTGCCAAAACCAAAAATACAAAAGAGTAGATTTTTTATGTTGAAATGTTGTGAAACAAAGACCATTTGAAATGAGTCTAGCTGCATTGCAAATATCACATTATTCTGTTTTATGACCTGCAAATCATAAAAAGTTTTCCTTAAGTACCTTGACAGCATGCATTTTAAAGTGATGTTTTGAGTGTTCGTGTTTTTTTTGGTAATTTTAATTACAGAATTGAAATTAATCTTTAAACAACTTCAAAGTTGTCTGATATGCAGTATTTTTCAAGCATTTTATACTTTTTGGTATATTACCAAAATTGAGAGTTAGACAGTATTCTAAAATAGTTTAAAAACAAAAATGCAATTTTATCTTTGTCTCCTCGTTAAGGGCACTACCAATACAAAAGGTGTCCAAACTGACACTACAGAGCTGTGAAGCAGTTGGCTAGAGAGACAATGTCCTCAAAGGATAGTCTGTATTTTTTCTATCCTATGCAATCATATGCATTAATTATCAAAAAGTTGGATAATTTGCTTTAAGAAAAGAACCCACCTTAAAAATGGATCATGAGTATTGACAAATACTTTTAGTTTGTTTTACTGATTAATATTCAAGTTTCAATGTAAAAATGCTTACTCTCATACGATACTGATCAAGAAAATATTTTTCTTAAAGTTAAATGGACAATTAAAATTGTGGCTACTAGTGAAGTAAATAAATGATTCATAAAGGCCATAGGAAACTGTACAAAACTAAAATGGGAAGTCTCACTTTCAGGATGACAGTATGTTGTCCACTTAACTGTTTTATTAAACTGTTGAGACTGTTTCAAAAGACAGTGCTGGGCAGTTTCATTTGAATAGCCAAAATTCTTTTTTTTTTAACTGAAAAAAGATATTTTGCATCTCTGCAAAACAAACAAAACAGGAGCAAAACCCATACACACTAGGACTGAAGTACAGATGAAGGCAAAGTTTTGTTACAAACCTGTTTTCAACATACAGTGAGAAATGTCCATTGTACAAAACTTCTAGTGACTGACCTACAATTAATTTAAGATTATCCCAGCAATGCAAATACAACTCAGAACAGCTCAGTTGTGTAAGATTTTCCAATAGTACTATGGTGGGAGACTACTGAGTTTTCAGAATTAGTTTGACTTACATTGTCTCTTTTGATCAAAGCCTGCATTTGTACTCTAAGTATTTGCTGGTTACAAGTCTGTTACATACTTAATCCTTCAGCACAGTGAAGTACTCCTTGGTGTTCTCTCATCTGTCTCCTAGCAGCTTTCCTTTAGCAAGAGGCTGGGTTGAGCAGCTGCTTCTGTAGAAAACACTGTTGTCAGTCTTTGTTCTCCTTGCAGGGGACACTTTAGTAAGAAACATCTGGCAGTATCCAGCATTGAAAATACTGTCAGCTGTGTTGCCTAACCAAACATCGAAAACCAAATTTGCATTTCCTGGTTGGTAATACACTTTGTGCCCAGTGGATTGTTTAAGAGTTTAAGAGCATTGTAAGTAAAAATCCATAAACATTAACAGTGATGTTTACACTTTATTGGGGGGAGGGGGCAGCAAAAATCAACGTAAGTTACTAGTTTTTAAAGTTTAGTCTATGTTATATTTGATTACTGGGATATCAATACAATGAAAGTGGAGGAATTTCAACAGTAATTTTGAAGAAGTTTTAGTACATCATATTGTGCAGGGCTTTATAAAAGATTTTTGTTTCCAAAGATGTTATTGGGGTCCACATATTCTTTAACAGATCTCAGCATTCCCAGGCCAACATCAGAGATGCTCTCCTTCATCCAGTGCTTCCGCAATTTGCCTACTGGAAAAACAAAAACAAAGCATTTCAATATATGGCAGGATTCTAGGAGCCAATCAATCTTGTGACCATGAATGAATAAACACTGTGTGATAAATGCTTTTATTCAAAAATGAGAAATGTTTTGCTTTATTTGATTTATTGAGCCCACCAGACTATCAAGCTCATTAAGCTCAGCATATTCCCAGAGGAAGACTGTGTTCCACACTGTGTACTTTCTTTAGAAAGTATGAAATTTAGATGAAGCTTAGGCTGAAATCACATGTTCTGTTAAAATAGGGAATTGGTACCAAGTTTTAGAAAGCCACCAAACTCATTTTAAGTAGGAAACTGAAGAGGAAATTACTAAAAAGCAGAACCCCACACCTCTTGATTGCTTTAAAGTGAAAACATAACTCAATAATCAAGCAAACTTAAAAGAGTATTGGTTTAATTAGCAAAAAATTGTTTTCTAAGAAGCCTTAAAGCCTAGTTTTAAAGCAACAAAATACCTTATTTCATCCAAAAATTTTTACACAGGCTGGTAATTGCTCATATTACACAAGAGCTTAGTTTCCCATGTAAAAATGGATGTTCACAACATATACCAAATACAAAGCAAAGCTGAGACATTTCACTAGTCTCACAATAGTCCTATTAAATGGCCGAGTGTTCACATACTAATTAACCAAGTCATCAACTCTAATTTAACAGATCATTCAAAGTAAAGGACATTTTTTCAGTAAACACACTATAGCATTTAACTTGTCAGCCTGAAACACAACCCATTTGTCAGTATGATGCGATATAGTAAAGGTTTGAGAGACAGATGCTTTAAGAGTATCTGAAGCTAAATTCAAGCCATCTTTTTTGCCCTGTTCTCAGGGTAACCATCAAACTGTCATCAGAATAATAAATTACAGGGACACCTCTGGAGAACAGAGTATATTTGTTTATACCTTAAGGAATATGAGCTAGTTACAATGCCAACTGAAAAGGCAAATAATGTGAGAAAGAATGAAATTTGCAGTTCGCTAGAACACAACAACAAGCATGCATGTCAAGAGCAAATATCATAACTGAAGGACAAAAGAATTTGTCATGTGGTAGGAACTGTGGTTGTAATTTGCAGGCTAGCTCAAGAAAAAATCCCCATCTGTAAATATACCATCACTACAATTTGACCATCTGAGCAAGCTGATGTAGTTGAATTTTACCTGGGGATACTTTAATACTACTACTACAAAAAAAGAATCATGGACATGGCTTGACCATCACCTCAGGTCATTCACACTGGCTCTTACACAAGCAGCTGAAGAACAGTCATTACCATTCTCAACTGTTATCTGTAATATAGTTTCAGTGAATGTGTCCTGTGGTTATGGATGTAATTGTCCTGAAAAGACTGCAAACAACTGCTCCAACAAGATGGAGCACATTAGAATCACAGCAGGATGCCCAACAGCTAGCAGGCCTGCCTCTTTTACACCTCCAGTAATAATGCAATTCCACAAGGAACTGAACTACTGTCTGAGCAGCACCAAACAGTCGTTGCATATTTAATGAAGTCGCTCACCAAGTGCTGGAAAACAGAAGGTGCTTGGAGTGCATCATTAGTTCTGTCAAAGTGATAATTTACACATCTATCTTGTCAAATTTTCTATGGTTTATACTTTTGCAATAATAAATCTAACATACATTTGATTAGTGAACTGGAAAGATAAAAAGCTGTACTACAGTTACCAGCAGTCCTTCACAAACATGTTCAATGAAAAGATTTTAACCCCTTGATAACAGTAGGTTGAGCCCCTGCTCCTACTGTTCATGTCAATAAGATATACATGGATTTTTCAGCTACTCAAGTTTTCATATTAGAGTTAAAAAGCATTGAAGCAATCTGGCTCTTAGAATTCTAAGCTGGTCCATCTGATTAAATGGAAAATAGACCAAGTGAAGGAAAGGCTCTGTGCAGATGTGAGCACCGCTTAGAAAAGCAGTGTTTTGTTTGTTTTCACTTCAGGTTAGTGCTGCCCTATAAGTACGCTGTTCCTCCTCCATAGGATGATCCAATTAGCTTCAAGGATGAGAAGGGAAAAGGAGGGAAAAATGTCATAACAGTAAAAGATGTTACCATGAATGTAAAAATAATTCCAAGTGGCAAAGTTAAACTGCACTCTAAGCATAGCCAAAGAACAGCTTTGGGGTCAAGGAAGCCTTAACTTCCCCAACAATAAAAGGTCTCAGTTAAGCCTGATCTCACCATGGACTAGGGAAAACCACATTTCTGTTTCTAGCCTGGAGAACGTATACCTTTTAGTTTTAGTCCTAGATGATGCCATTTATATAGAACTGACACCAGACAGTGCACAGAGCCAGATTTTATCCAAACATCTACCACTTATAAGCTCTCAGCCCAGTATACTTTTCTCAATTAAAAACTGAGATCAAATTCACCTGAATCTATATGCTACACCATAACATTATTAATAAAGATTCTCAAATCAGCATAACATTGTTAAGCTACTACAAATTGATTGTACAAGTCACTACTTGCCAACTCGGCTATACACACCATTACACACACAGTCCTTGTTGCCCCAACTGGAAACAAATACAGCCCTTCCTTCTTGCATCTTCGTCCTCTGAAGACGCCTAATCTTGCATCTTAATTATCCAAGATGAAGCGTGACAGAATTAGTTTTCAAGTTTTACAAGTGGCACGTGCCCTGTTCCTGAGGTGTGCTGAGCAGTCTAATGCCTTAAAACATTCACTGCTAGGAAGCCAGAAGCCCAGCATACTACACATAGTACTAACACCCTAGCACGACAAAGTCTGCTTCACACAAAGTACTTCAAACCAGAAAGTCAAGAAGCTTGTTCAGTAGCAACTCTCAAAGATAGTCCAACACCAATTTTATTTTGGCAGTATTTTCAAGTTTTATCATAATTATAGTCCATATATGAAAGAAAAACATGTGAGCTGGATAAATAACTTTTTCCCAGTTCTGATACATGGTGGTCCAGACCTTAGCTGGTTTCATTAGAAAAGTTGTTCATGCTTCCAGTGCCCTTTTAATCTGTGGGGGAACAAAATACACTTGGGTGAAGTGCAACCATACTCTATGCTGCTCCTGTAGAGCCCACCCTTTGAAAAAAACAATGAAGCAAAACACACCGACATTACATTCACTGCCAAAAGTGACAACAGTTTCCCATGTGCTTGGTTTTTCAAAGGGAAGTGCATTAGATGGGCAGCACATACCTGCTGGCCACAAAGAAGATAAAATGGGAGTACAGCTCTCCTGGCTCATAAAAGCTACACTTGCTCATCTTTGAAAATTCATCTGGATGGCTGCAAAAAGTCTGGCTGCTAAGGATGGAGCTAGCAAACAGCAGGCAGCAATTGTTTTTTTTTTTAATATGAAGTAGTTTGGCACACGTGAACAGTCTTGTAAGGAAAGTTTTAGTGTTGCTGATGGATCCCAGGAATAACTCTACACCCATGCAGAACAGATTTATAGCAGCGTGTGGTCCCAGTGGAAATAGGCTCTAGTGGCACTGCACATGGCCCTAGGCTTCCTCTGGTGCAGCCCTTTCAACTTAAAGAGGCAGTTATTGGAGAACAGCAGCTCTGCAAAAGGAGAAGTGGTAACGGAGGGTAAGAAGAATGGGGCTCTTCTGGCTGTGCATGCTCTTCCTGAAGCTGGTTGTCTCTACGGAAAGCATCTCTCTGCTCTTAGAAATTGCTTAACAGGTTAATACTCTTGCAGAGAGAACTCTGCACTACTGAGAAAGGTCAGTGCATTAATCTAATAGTGTGGTAGTGCTGGAGTATATTGGACCAGTGTACCTGAAGTCTACTACATAATTAACACCATCATCACAACATCTTGCACATTTTCACTCAATATCTAAACAATTTGAAAGCACTTAAGCTCTTTGTTGATGAATCAGAAAGTCCTTTGCATTTATTTGGTAGAAAAGGCACTGAAGATGACTATTCTATTAAGACTTTCACCGCACCACCGAGGAAAATACAACCGCGTTATATTGTTTCACATAAGGTTACTCTGTGTTCGACAAATGTCACAGTTTAAACTCATTCCCAGTAGAGCAAGCTCTAGTTTTAAGATGAAAGTATGATCAGTTTCCAGTGCTAACTTAAAGGTAAGAAGATACACTTTTCCTGTGTAGAGAAGAAAAGAATGTGTTCAACTGCCCCCATAAGGGAATTTTATAATATCAGACTTTGTAGTTTGTGTGGGTTAATTACTGCAGTGTATAGCTTAAGCCATAGTCTCTTAATGGTACCAATGAATTGCAATGTCAAACATGCAACTGAATGCAAATAAAGTGTGTGGGGTTTTGTGGTTTGTGTTTGTTTGGGGTTTTTTGTTTGTTTTGGGGTTTTTTTTGTTTGTTTAGTTTGTTTGTTTTTGTTTGGGGTTTTTTTGTTTTTGTTTTTTTTTTTTTTTTTAGTTTTCCTACATAAACTGCCAGGAAATTGATACTATACCTAAACCTGTGGAGCCTGGGCTATGTTAGCCTTTATTCTAGTCAATCTGTCTAGAAAGTAGAAGCAAATCAGTAAAGTGGCTAAATAGGGCTATTTTCCTCAAACCCACAAGCTGATAATTGTTTCCTTAAGTAACCAGGTTTAGTTAGAACATTCCCTGCAAGGGAAACAATCTACCATTAATTTTTACACTGGTTTCAGGGCTTGCCCTAAATGATTAGAACAATCATTTACTTAAACTTAAACTTGTATCTACATGAAATTGTCATTCCTAATGCTTCTTTTTAAATGCTAAGTTTCTAGAAGCTAACTGGAGCTCCAGCAACCCTTACTTACATGACTTTCAAATCTAAAGATACTCACTGGCCAGAAAAGCAGGATCAAAGGATCAAAGCTGTGTTCGAAAATGTACACTATCCCTTTCTAAGTGTAGGACACAGTCAAGGCAAGGTGAAAACTATAATCGAGACTGTAAAATCTCATGTAGGACATGAAGTAATGCTACAACTCAGATATCTAATTCCTGAATACCTTTCAAAAACTTTTACTAAGCCACAAATTATGTCATAGCATTAGTTAAAAGGGACAAAGAAGGCATAAGAAACCAAAGTCACACATTAAAAACTACTTTACAACCACTAAGAAGCTTCTCAGCAGTTTGTTCACAACAAGTTTAGGGAGAAACAGACCTACCACATTTAGACAAGACTGTCAGGATCAAAAAAAAAAATCCAATAATCTCCTGTATAACGATCAATTTCTGATGCACCAGAGAATGGCTGAATTCCCCCTGCATAAGCAGTGCCTATCTGATCAGCTATGTATTTTGGGCCAATTTTTATAGCAATACATATGCCTCGGATTCTTCCTAAATGTAAATTCTGTAATAATCCAGAAACGTTATCAAGTGTTAAATACTAACATTAAAGTAGGGAAAACCATTCCTGACACTTACTAATTAGATTTAAATATTTGAAAGTCAAGAATGAGAAAGACTTCGAAAAACAATTTGATTAAAAGGACAAAGTCATTTAAGTTGCAGTACCATAGAAATGATATCCAGATTTATAAAACCAAAAAAATCCAGATATTCTACCCCAAAATATAAGCGATTGTTACATTGAAAGGATAAATTCATTACACAGATGTATGTGCCTGGCTTTGCTACAGCTTCTTGTGTCCATGAGATGCTTGCTGTACAAGGCTGGTATTGATACACTTCTGCAATTTCTTTGTTGGAATGTTGGTATTTTCTTATATATTGCAAGGTGTGATCTTTAATGTAATCCATTAACAAATAAGAGTTATGCTTCTTACAAGTTTTAAGTCTCAAAAGTCATCGGGGTGGGGATCTTCTCACCATATTGCTAACTTTAGTGAGTCTTGCCTAAAAGTTACAATATTTGTTAGCCTGAAGAGAAGGGAGGAGAGAAGAGATAGAGATTAAAATAGAATCTAAAGTAAAGTTTTTCTGAAGTTACTCTTCATAAAATTAGAAGTATCATGATTTTAGTTCTCACTGTAGATTGTAGCTATGTGTCTACCTGCAGTTAGTACTTCCCCAGATGTAAAGTAATTTAGAGCTTTATACATCTCAAACTGTCATATATGACCACTTCTTCACTCAGGGAGTGTATGAAGATTGACTTAAGCAGGCTTTGTATTTCCTATAGCCTCAAGTCCCAGACTACATCTGTTTTCTTTGATACACAAAACCAGAGTTAAAATAGCTCCATTTATCACAGTGTGATTGTAGGCAGACAAACCAGCCTGTCTGTTTCCAGATAGTGAAAACAACTGTTATTAATCACAATTACAAGACAAATACTAGAAGAAATTGCACCAGTATTTTCTTTTACCCCACACAATAGAACAGTCTTAGCAGTGCTAAGAGTGACAAGGCCTGAAGGTCAGTAAATAGAACTGATGCTATCAGGCTAATTCTCAGCAGCACATCTACTAAGCACTGGAAAAAATGGATCTTGAGTATCATACAAAATGAACTGCCAGACAAAAATACTCAAAGCAGAAAATATTTATCAGTACAAGAGGCAGTCACGCATACAACAGGAGCATAAGAAGTCTGACGGAAACCAACTTTTCTGTATCTGTGGAGTAAGAAAGTTCAATTGTGCAAGGGTTTGAAAATGCCACAATTTTTTTTCTTGTTCAACATATGCTGTAAGCAAGGTTTCATATGGTGAGGGCAAGTACATCCAAACATGTGACAAGCTCCAGCTGCACGCAAGTTAATGGATGAAATGCTAGTCACAGTAAAATACAGCTGCCACAGCAGGGGAGAGCACAATAGGATATCAAGGGAGTAATTCCACATCCCATGTGCAAGAACTGACCGGTCCACTATACCACCATATTAAAAGGAGGAGGACATATAAATCAGGGGACAATAAGAACATATTAAACAAAAAATACTGAAACTGTTTTCACTCATGTTATCACCTGCACATCTTTCAATATCCTGATCTTGCTAAAGCAGAATCCATTTCAGTTTCTGTCACAAAGCTAGATACCTGAAAACAGCCCTACCTAAAAGTTTCAAGTCCAGGAAATCACCAACATGTTTTAAAGCACAGTTTCTGCCCTTCACTTTTCCCCACACAGAGCTTTCTTAGAATTACAAAATTTGTATCTAGTTTTAAACCATTAGACTTCTTCCTCTTTGCTCTTACTTCTGTGGCCAGACAATACCCCAAGAAAGTAGAGAGAAGAAATGCGTTAACCAGTTTAAAGAAGTTGGCTACACAAATCAAACCGACTTCACAACAAGTCTTCCTGACATCCAAGTTTACAGCATTATATAGGACACATGCAATCAAATTAGGCTATCTTAATATGTGGGAAAAACATATGTAACGCATCAGGTATATGAAGTATCTCTTACACATGACATTGGTTCTTAAGCTTAATATTAAAGCACAAAATAGCTTGCAGAGAGGCTAGTAACTCAGGACAAGTAATTCCCAAACTCCGAGAGGAAACTGAATAATCAGAAGTTAGCAGACAGCAAGCCAGTAATATCAATACCTAGATAGCATCAATCATGCAACAAATGGTAGATTGCAACGTAGCCTAGCGTAAAGTCACTAGCTCTTTTACGCAGATACTTTCACTAAGTGCTTTGGAATTGGGGCTAACAGCATTCACCTAGCCACAAGGGATACTAAACTGTCTTCAAGCTGTGAAACTCATTTGAGGTCTTTGTAACTGAATATACCTCTGCACAAGGTTCAGTACAAGTTGCTTAAGACAAACTGATCAATTACATTTTCAGGTTCTCAGACAGCCTGTAGACTTCCTATCAAAGGTTTGAAGCTGGTGCTCATAAATACACCACACTGTGTGACTTAACATCAAGCAAACCAAGCCTAAGGACACTTCCCCTGAAAGTCTGGCAAACGGGTGAGAAGTTTCTAGAAAGAATGCCAGGAGATTCCCCCACTGCCAGTAATTTCAGTTAATGCCTGTGAAATATTTTTCAAAGTTTTATTAGAAACTATTTTATGTACTCATGAATATTTAGCAGTATCAAAGAGACTAATATTAGACCGAGAACATTACCTCCATGGTGATGTGACAGACTTCCTCCATTGGCAAGTATTTCTTCTCTAGCAGCCCTCTGAATTGGAAAGACAAAGTACTTATTCAACAGCAAATGCACAAGATTTGTTTTTAGTGAAATGCTTGCCATCGTACTCATTTACACAGGTGTATGAAAAGTTTCATAAGTATTTAGGGCACATAATACAGGTAAACATTTTCATTCAAGTCTGCAGATAAATGTAAGTGGGGATTCCTAAACATTAATCAAAGCCAAGACATTTAAAATGGCATCTGTTACAACAAATCTATTATTCCAGAATGGAATATTCTGGATCACTTCCCACTTGCCAAAACCAAAATAGTCTAGTGGCTGGGATGCTCATCTGGAAGATGGTTAAGTGCCTACTGAAAAGGAAATCGCAATGAAGTAGTTTGAAAACAGGCTCCCCAGAGTGACTCAAGATCCTTATTCAGACCACAGTTTAGACCCAGATCTCCAAGATTCTAGTCAAGGAAGTGAGGTACTTTACAACTGACACCTCTCATGGATGAAGTTTGTGGCAGAAAATAAAATTTAGAATTTTATGTTAATAAATATTTGAACACTTTCAAGCTCTAGAATCTTCTTTCCCATACAGCTCTGATTATGAACAGTTAGACAGCTTACAAGGTTGTAACAAAGAAAGCTTTCCTAAGCACAAGCACTAAATGTTTTTTTCAAAAAAGGGTGCTTTTTTAGGAATAATGTATCTAGCCATAGCTATGAAGTTAGAGATTTTTTTCAGTCTGCCACAGAGCACATATACTTGGTTGGCAAACTCACTTACTTAGGTTAAATTTAGTCACCTACAATGGAACACAGGCATCCAGGTGATCACACTGCTAACTAATTCCAATAAACAGCACTAAGTATTAACAAAGTTTCATTAAATAGGCACACATATTACATTCTCCAATGCCCTAGATTCAACAGCACAGAAGCCTCAGAACTTGTAGATAAAACTTTACATCCACTTCCCGAGTTCAAGAAAAATTTCTAAAGAATAAGCACGAGAAGAATGACATCCTAGTTATAAATATAGACTACTTCTCCACAGTCCTACTAGCAAGTTTCTGGTGCTGAAGCTTTAGCACATGAACCAAAAGGTAGGATAAAAAGCAGTTTTTCCATAGTCCTTCTATGTCTAAGTGTTACATCTTCAAGGTAACAAGGATATTAGTTTCCCCTAATTAGGTAAGTATAGTGTTGCACCAGCCAAAGTGTTCAAGCAGAGAGTTATTCCACAGCTTTTTGGTAAATGTCAAAGCAGCTTACAACTGGCCTAACACAGCAGACTTAGACCTAGGCCTAAAGAAAAATAACCACAGCAGTTAATTCTCTGAAATAGCATAAGACACCCTTATATTCGTTATACTCTACATACAGCACTATTAGTAAAGTACGGTCTCAATAGTTTTATCATGTATTTTAAAGATTAATGGAGTACTAAGTGAAAGTAGCTTTGTAAATAATGGAACTAAGGAAGTCTTGTTTCCCATGGATTTGAGTTTTGTAGTTGACAGTTTCTGCCATCTAAGAACAAACTCCAGTTCAAGCTTTCCTGTACTTTAGTCATAAGTGTTCATTTACTGATGTCTAAAATAGTCACCTTGCAGTCTTTCTTCTACTTGGTGCACTGCTAGTGTGCACC